CCCGGGCCCGGCGGCAGGGGCGCGGCAGCCGAGCCGCCCGCCAATCGGCGCTTTGCAGGCCGGGAGCGCGGGGCGGCGGGAAGGGCAGGAAGCGCCGCCGAGCTGGGGACGAACATAGGGGCGCCGGCCCTCAGAGGCCCCGGGAGGAAGCGGAGAGGACTAGTGGTGACCAGAGGAAGGAGACTGGGGAGGGAACCCCGTCCCCAGTAAAGCCAACTCGCTAGCGCAGCGACGCGGGCAGCCCCCCTCCGCGGCGCGCGCCGGGAAAGCCGAGTTTCCCCGCCCTCTAAAAAACGGGCGAGAAGAAAGGTATTTCCGGCGTTATGACTGGCTTTGCGGAAGGGGTGGGGCTAGTCTGGTCCCGCCCCTCACGCCCGGCGGGGGCGAGACGAAGAGTGACAGCCCCTCTGCCTGCGCTAAGGCCCGCCCCTGCGCCGGAAGGAGGAAGGAGGGGGAGTCGAGCGTGCGCAGGGCGTGAGGTCACGTGATGCAACTGCCAGCGAAGAAGGGAAAGGGGCGTGGCCCGGGTCGGAGGGGCGGGGCGGCCCTCCTTCCCCTCGGGTCACGCGCGGCCGGAAGTGGCGCCCGCAACGGAGTATTGGCGATGGGGACTTCCCTGGACATTAAGATTAAAAGAGCGAACAAGGTTTATCATGCCGGGGTAAGTGGGGTGGGCGGGCCTGCACGTTCCGTCGTCTCCGGGGCCCCGCGCAGTTCTGCGTGTCCCTGGGCGGGGCAGAGGTGCGTCCTGCCAGGTGCGTCCCGCGCGCCTCTGGCTGTCCTCCCAAGGGTCCCCGACGGAGTCGCCGTCGCGTCCGCGGGCGTGCAGGGTGAGGGGCGGCGCCGGGGCTGCAGCGCTAACTGGCCCCTTGAACGTCTGGCTCGGCCTCCGTCCCGGGCTTGAGCTGAGCACTGAGAGCCGAGGAGCTCGGTGAGCACACGTCCCGTGCCCTCACTCTTGGGGTGACTGACACGGTCTAACGAGAGGCAGAATTAACCTTGAAAGCAGAAATATGCACTTCAGGCCATGGTCAGCTCTAACACCGTGCAAAAGTTACTCATTTCTGTGGTTTTATTCTTTGAATAACATACAGAAGGAATGGTATATTGAAATGCAAGTCCAAAAAAATGAAAATCTTAACTGTGCCGTTAACAAGGTTTGCGCCACTGGCCAATCACTCCACCTCCTCGGGCCTCAGTTACTTTATTTGCAAAATGAGGATGATGCAAGGTTCCTGTGTCTCGGGGAATCTCAACCTTGGCATCAGAATCAGTCACCCTGGGGAGTCCCAAAATGTGATTGCCTGGGTCCCACCCCCAGAGATACCAGTGATTCAGCCAGGGTTGGAATCGCAGCTAGCTCTCACACCTTGTGCAATAAAATTGAGAGTAGTGGTTGGTCATATAAATGCAGAGCAGTCTCAAACGGGATAGAATATCAGGCAAAGATCATGAATGGATTCTACAATCTTTGGGTGCAAGAAGGTTGGGGAAACCTGATAATTACACAGACTAGAATGGCCACCTTCCAGATTATTAGTTACAGAAAGAAAGAGCTACCTTTATAGTGGAGGAATCTGGCAGTCACCACGCTAAAGAAGACCAACAGTGAACACCGCCTTACCATCATCACTAATGAGACTAACTGACATTATATTCTGGCATAGTAATAGAAGGGTCTAGCATGATGCACTGAGGACACGACCAATTTACGTGCTATTCCTGCCAAAAATGTTTAATCTAAGCCAATTCATAAGGAAACCATCAGGCATATCTAAATTGAGGAACATTCTACGAAATAGCCTGGATTCTTCAGAAATGTCAATGTCATGAAAAAAAGGAATTTTTCTAGATTAAAAGAGACGAAAGGGATATAACAACCAAATACAGTGCATAATTTTTGATAAATATGAATATGGACTATACATTAAATAATAGTTTTGTATTGATGTACAATTTCTCAAGTGTGGTATTTCTATTTTGGTTATGTAGGAGAGTACTCCACATATTGAAGTATTTAGGAGTGAAGGGTCACAATTACTAAATTTTAAATGATCCAGCCGTAAATCATGTGTGTGTGTGCACGCACATGTGAGGGGAAGAGAAAAAGTAATATGGCAAAATATTAATAATTAATAATTTCTTTATTGAGATCTCTAATTCCAATACCATAAAATTCACCCTTTTAAAGTGTAATATATTCACAGATTTTAATATATTCACATAGTTGTGCAACCATCACCACTGTCTAATCTAGAACCTTTTCATCACCCCAAGAAGAAACCCTGTACCCCTTAGCAGTCACTCCTCATTGCCCCTCCCTCTCAGGCCCTGGCAATCACAGATTTACTTTCTGTCTCTGTGGATTTGCCTATTCTGAACATTTCATACAAATGGAATCATTCCTAATGAATCATAAATGATATAAATGGAATCATACAATATGTGGCCTTTTCTGCCTGGCTTCTTTCACTTAGCGTAATTGTTTTCAGTGTTCATAAATGTTGTAGCATGTATCAGTTCCTCATTCCTTTTTATGGCTGAATAATGTTCCGCTGTATGGCTACAACACATTTATTTATCCCTTTATCTGTTGATGGACATTTTGGTAATTTTCACTTTTTGGCTATTATGAATAATGCTACTATGAACATTCTAGTGCAAGTTTTTGTGTGAACATGTCTTCATTTCTCTTGGGTAAATATTGAGGAGTGGGATTGCTAGGTGATATGGCAACTTTATGTTTAACTTTTTGAAGACCCACCAAATTGTTTTCCAAAGCATCTGCACCACTTTACTTCTACCAGCAGTGTATGAGGGTTCCAGTTTCTCCTCTACTTTGTATTCTCATAACTTTTCTGTAGCTTGGAAGATTTCAAAATAAGAATTGGGGGAGGCAGGAGACTGTATTACACATTTTGCTTTAGTACCTATTATTTCATTGAAGAGTTAGCACATTCCATTCAGAGATGTTACTCCAGCTGAAATGCTGAGGTGTTTTCTGGGATTTTTAAATATGGTACAAGTAATGAAAAGTACATTTAGAAAAGATGGAAGAAATAGAATCATAAAATTGACCCAGCTGAGGTCTTAACACAACTGGGACCACTCCTCGTGGGTGGCAGAGTTGAAGGTGGTGTCAGCTCTGCCCATCTAGTGCACATCTCTTGGTGCCATTATCAGGAACTGAATCTGCAGTTGTTGGCTTATGGCTGTGTTTCTCAGTCTTCAGTCACTTTTGCACTTAATGCATTTTAGATGGTTGCTATTTTTTTAAAAACAAAAAATGATGTTACCAATAAATCTAATCAGTTGACAAAAATACACAGCTGGACATATGTGCCCATGACCCATGTGTTAGACTCCATGATCTGTGATTCAGGATAGGTGGAGTAGGTGCCCAGCGCTGTCATGACTGCTTTCTAAGCTCCAGGTGGCGGGACCCTTGCTGCCTAGTTGCTTGATGAGGACCGCATGTTGCAAGTGTAGTTTGCACCATGGTTGTTCGAAGGGTGGCCTCTCTGTCCCACCCTCCCCACTCTTAGATGGCTGCTGGTGGAACTAATAACATACAAGTTTTCAGTTTTCTCTGTACATCTCAACAGCATTGGTAAAGGTGCAATTACTAAAGATTTGACTCACTGATGGGCCTGCCAGAGCACAGTACCTGTAATTCTCATGGTTCGCTTAAGGTGGCTGTTGCCTGCGTTAGCTTGATCCTGAGGTCCTAAGTGATTGTCGTCCAAGTGAAACACGTTTGTCCATGTAACCACATAAAGCAGTCTTATGTTTCTCCGAGGTACCTGGGAAACACTGGTGTAGGGTTTGTCAGCCAGGCAGTGTCACTCCCATTTTACTGATGAGGAAACTGAGGCCTAGACAGGTTGAAGAGTTTGCCCAAGATCACCCAGCTAATGACAGAGACTGGATTCCAGCTCAGGTAGGTCAGGTTTCAAAGCGTGTCCATCCAACGCTATTATACCACCTCCCTAAGAGTGGCCATTTTTATGCAAAATGGAGGAATTTGTGATGTAGAATTGTTTATTAATTTCATAGGGGAGCTATAAATAGCATTTTAATATTTCAGTTAAAAAAACTGCTATGACTTCTACTCGGAACGTGTGCTGTGGACACCAGAGAACCTAAGTTATACTTGGGTTTAAGATTGACATTTGGTTTTTTCCCCTAGAAAAAGGTGCTCATTGACAAAATGATGGAGTTTTTTTTAATCATAGCTGAATCACTTTTTAAAATATAAATGTAATGCATACCATGTTAACAACTTAACATTTTACAGAAGGCTGGAAAGTGAAAAGTCAGGTCCTTCCTCCTCTTTGTGACCCCCTTTTCCGTCCCTGGAGGTATCCACTGACAGTTTGGGTGCTATTCCAGACATTTCCTGTGAATCGGTGCACATGTGCGCACACAGACGCACACACAACTTGTTCTTTTTGCTCAACAGTGTATCTTTATCTTAGATACCTTTCCATATCACCGCGTCTTCATCAGTCTCATTCTTCTTTAGATTGTTATTTAATCAGAATAAGTTTATTCAACCAAAGTCTATGAGGCTTACAGGTCAGCGGGGAGACATAGGTAAATACAGAAACAAAAGGTGATCAAGTGCTTGAGCAGGGGCACCTGTGGTATCTGATGAGCACAAAGTAGGGCACAGTCATGTCAGGGGAGGGGCCCTTTGGGAGCTTCATTGAGCTGGCAGTGCTTGAACCTGGTTTTGAAATCTAAGTGCTGGACCAGGGCCTCCCTCCTCCCTGGGGCTTTGTTTCCGTCAGAAGGCTAGCCAGCGTGAGCAAGTGAACAACAACTTGCAGACATTTGTGAAGCAACCTGAGTCCAGTAAAGGATTTCTTTTACTCCATTTCCCAACCGTTTACAGTCACTTCTCATCTAATTTGACAGCAGTTTTTAAAGGCGACTTCACTTTCTCATGTTTCCAAAATGTTTCCTCTTTTCCTTGAGTTTATTCTGCTCTCGTTTTTTTTTTTTTTAAATCATTTGGTTTTTTTAATAATTTTATTTATTTATTTTTCCCCCCAAAGTCCCAGTAGATAGTTGTACGTCATAGCTGTACATCCTTCTAGTTGCTGTACGTGGGACACGACCTCAGCATGGCCGGAGAAGCGGTGCGTCGGTGCATGCCCGGGATCCGAACCCGGGCCACCAGCAGCGGAGCGCATGCACTTAACCGCTAAGCCACGGGGCCGGCCCTCTTGTTTTTTTTTTAAACTTCGTAAGTTGGTTGTTTAGCTTATTAAATTGTAGCCTCCTTTTGAAAATGTGGACATTTTCCTCTAAGTACTACCTTAGTTGCATCCCACAAGTCTTTTGTTTTTAATAGCTTGGTGAATTATTATGAAGCAGACACCCTTGTAACCCCACCCAGGTCCTGCTGGAGAGGGGCAGGGGACCAGGAGAGAGGGAGAGACTGGAAGAAGGAGAATCGCTCTGCCTAGATGCTGGCAGAAGACGCTGCTCCAAAGGCCCCTGCTGAGGCTTCATGCTTTAGCAGCCTCACGCTCTGTGGGACGTGGGAAGACCCCAAAATAATGCTCCTCTGCATGTCCCATGAGTTGTGATTTGTAGTATTTTTATAAGTGTACACCTTAAATATCTTCTGATTTCCGTCATGATTTTTTTCTT